GTCGTCTGCCTCCAGTTGTGCGGTTCGATTTTATTTTGATGATGGAATGGTGTAACATTGAACCGACTGCTCGCTTCCGGCAAGACCTTGCTTGTGTTAAAATTCATGTTTATTCCACTAGTCATTTGGATAATTTTAAAACGTCGAGTCATTGCGTCATGATCGGGCAGAAATCGTACCCTTGGTCTGAATTTAGTATCAGGCACTTTTTCTTGTCATCGGGGGTACTCGTAACGATGCGGCTTTTCAACGATCTGTAAGTCTTGAATTTTTCCCACAGAATGTATTTATGTGTTTTGATCTTTACAGGGGGGGGATGGGTTGTGTTTTCTTAGAGGTACGAACAGAATTTTAAGTTTTGTATAAATAACCTTCGTTCTTCAAAGGGTTAATAACATGTTGATACTGTTGGTCTCTTAATTTGTCATTAACTATACAGAAAAAATGCAGATTATAAACATTTATGGAATGTGTCTTACATTTTCCTATGAATGATTTCGGTTATTACAGATAACCAAAAGTGTAAGTTAAAGCCTCCGTATCTGGAGAATGATTGAGAATTTTAGATAAATTAATTTGCACGAGACTGGATAAATTTGCATTCCAAGGGAGTGTTGTTAGAATATTATTACACTTCGTACAAACAGTTATTCTAAAGAGGGATTAGGACCCAAGTAAACAAATCATGTCTTTAATGTACATGGATTGCTGTCGTGTGCTACTGAAAATTAACTCACCCGGTAGGAACTTGACGCCAATCCAGGCACAGATAGGCATAAGCGTGTGATGCCACAGATGCAGGGGTGAGATCTGCGAGTTCTTCTTCCTCAGCACAAAGAACACCTGTACAGACCGATTATTCTTTTATCGCAGTGTTGGGAGACTTAATTTATAGACAGTCGGTCTTCACGTCACATAGTCCAGAGTCACGAAAGAATTTCTGCTTGCATTAAACGCAGATTCCACAGCCTTTTAAGAACCGCCACAAAACGTTTTATCTTATTTCAAGGTCTCTCGTAACAGCTTACATCTTAAGCAAAACATCCGACATTTCAACCACAAGGAAGTAGTTTCATTAGCTCGTCTTTTTCTCACAATAAACTGCAATGATTACGTTAATCACTTACAAGGAATTAAAATTCGATATTTTCTTCGAGCTATGGCACAGACTTTAAGATCAGAAAAACATTAGGAGATAAAATTACGTAATAGACGAATAGAAGGAGGGTTCCCCCTTGAAATTAATAATGATTGCGCCGAAGACAGTCTTAAAGTCTGCAGGACTGGTTTGGGCTAAACTCAGATCGTCGTGACGTCTTCATATAAAAAATTTGTAAACCCAGATGTAAATAATTGTCATTACGTCGACAGAGCCAGCGAGGACGGAACGCTGTAGTATTAAAATCCACTGCCGTGATGGCGGTTATTTTTCTACATAGTTTTAATTAATGATATCAAATAAATACCGTATGGTGAAAAATGTTTAATGTTGGACCAATCACACTTGCACGTGGAATTATGACACGATACACCCAAGATAATTTTATTTCTCGTGGGATTATGAGTGGGGCTAAAGCGACCGAATCACTGTGGCTGATATGCTGGCGATTATGTAAGTAGTGTTCAAGTCTTCCGCTAGGTATCGTGTCGAGTAAACAAATATATATCTTTTCAAATATTATATTCTTATAAAACTTGTTCTACAGAGCCTTATTTGTGTATTCCAGGTTCAGAATTCATATCTGTTGCAAGAGCTTTCCTCTTTAAAAGTTCTGTCTTTGATGTCCTTTCAATAACAATATTGATATAGAATTCAGATACAGGCAATTCAACTTGTGACTGAATAAACATGACAGAGCAAGTAAAGTAATTACAAGAATAAATATTTGTGATGTGGTATTTGTTACAAAAACACAAGAAGATTAGAACTTACCGTATCTAGAAGTTCGATCAATTTACAGAACAGATACCACCAACATGCATTCGCCATCTGTAAAGAGATTTAATTCGTACGTTATATAGAGCCCTTGATGATTTTTGACGGATGTGAAACTTGCGGCATCTGGTGGCATTTCACCTGAACTACATAATCAAGACAAATTGAGTGGGAATATCTTCCAACATTTGATCGTCTTAGGGAACAAATGAAATCTCTGACGACCGAAATGGCGGCTAGAAGACGAATTAGTGATAGAATTATGAATGTTGTGTAATGAGGAATTGATTTCTGTGGTTGCTTTGAAAGTGAAAATGGTTCAATGTTGTGAATTACTTGATACAAACTGGAGTGGAAGTTGGAAGGAAAAATACAGGTATGTTCTCTTCTAATAAACAGCAGAAAAATATGGTTACTTAAAAAAGAGTATGGTTTTCATTCTTGCTAATAACAGGGATTCAGCATAGTTTGCCCAGAAATGCATATGTTATTAACCCATAACTTTGTTTTACCCTGGAGTTTGTAAATGAGTTTTGTGGGAAACATGTAAACATTGACCACATGTGGGTCTCGATATTAATTAACATTGGGACACCTGATTGTTTTGGTAGCACCAGTGTTTTCCTTTACCATGGTAATAATGAATACCATCTTGCCAAGAGACTGCTGTGCCTTGTTTATGATGGTATATTTCATTTGTTATAAAAATATCTGTTTTCTGTTTGATTTGTTTTACTTGTATGGTTTCCATTCATGACATTTTAGAGGTTAAAGTATGTTACATGTTATTCTCTTCAAAATAATGAGAAGTCCATGTAAGTTGGAGATTATAGTAATACCCCACATACATTCTTTGACCTGAGTTTTGCAGTGTTTTGACTTGGTACTGTTGAAACTTGTTGAGTCAAATACAGTCTCCCGCTCAAGGGAGAACACAGATTGAGGGAGGATTGCTTGAGAACAGGGTGTTGAGGAGAATAGTTTGGATCTAAGAGGAAGAGATGTGACAGGAGGATGGAGAAAGCTGCACAATGTGGAGATTCATAATTTGTACTGTATTGCTGATATCATCAGGGTGATCAGATGAGGGACAGTGTCATAGACGGGACATACAGCACATGTGTAGGAGATTCATCTCGTTGAGGATTGGGAGAAATGGTGGGCTCTTGTGAGCACATATATGAATGTGTGGGACATGTAACAGATGGAATTCCTTGATTGTCTGAGGACTTGTTAGCTACAGAAGGGGTGTGTAACGAATTCTTCTCGGGCTAGCAGCCGTGTAAGAAGAAGGGCTGTGCTTTATGGAGTTTGGTTTGCTGATAAAGTATCTGAAGAGAAAACAGTGATGCACACAGGTTAAGAACTAGTTAAGCAGAGCAGAGTCATTACTATAATATTAACCGAGTGGATTAAACGTTGGAGGAGAGTGATTCATTCCGTTACATACTGAGTTGACTGCAATTTAATTTTAAAAATCTGAAGCCACAACTCCGTTCTGAAGAAATATTAAGCAGACTACCGACGTACAATTTACGGTTTTAAGGACATAATTCCGTAAGATTGCTTTATATATTCTATATAGATTTTACGAAGAAAATTTCAGGTTTCTGCATTCCTGTAGAACAATTATTTAACCTTCCGCGGTCTGGTTTATTTATATTAATACAGTGTGTCCACAAAGTCCCTTCGGGGTTTTGAAAAACCCGTATCAGGAATGCGATCTCGGCTATTACAGCGGACATGCTCCAAAGAACATGGCCAGAGCTCGAATATCGTCTGGACGTTCTCCGTGCTACCAAGGGAGCCCACATCGAGGTATACTGAGATCAGTAAAAAACTTACAGAGTTTCACTGTAATCTGCCGCAAACCGCATGTGGCTAGCTCAATTTGTTTGCGCGCCACAATTTTTCAAAACCCCGAAGGGACTTTGTGGACACACTGTATACTTCAGT